GCGCACGCAGAGTGCTCTGTTGGCCGCGGAGCGGCAGGAGGCAGAGGAGGCCGGAGTGAGCTGGAGGTATGGGCCAGGCGGCCTGGAAGGGGTTCGCCCAGTCTCTGTTCGACTATAAGACCGCAAAGTTCGTGGTCGCCAAGAGCAAGAAGGTGGGGCTGCTCTACCGGCTGCTGCAGCTCACCATCCTGTTGTACTTACTCATGTGAGTTCTCGGGCACTTTTTTCAAGCCAGGGGACTGGGGAGGGGAAGGTATAGACACACAAGGGCCTTGGGGAGTCGGCCTTCATGGGCGCTTGGATGTAAGGGTGGGAAGGTGAAAAGTGGACACACTACGCCTTGTGAAACGTGGGAGGGGCTACTGGGCACTTTGGTTTGAAGCTACTTTGTAGGGAGCCCCTTCTCCCAGGAAAGGAGCGCCCAGCGTTATAGTCATGGTCAACAGGCAGGGATGTCAAGACTCTGGGCTCAGCTGCCCCCCAGAGGCCTCCCGGAGTTCTGGCCTGACAGCTGGGCCAGGCACCCAGCAGGTTATTTATAAGCACGGAACATCACTGACTTGGTTGGGCCAGCTCATCAGATTGGCATGTTCTGGAACTCAGGGTTAGCTCACGGGAAACAGGGGCAGCCTCTCCAGTGTCCAGCAGCTCTACTGTTCCCTTGTTGCCATCTCACCTAGCAGGGTGTGGGCCCACCAGCCCAGGGGAGCTTGTTGGGGGTTTAACAGCTAGACCTTGGTCAGAGCCCTTCCTTGCTCCTAGGGAGAAAGGAGGGCGCAGGTGAAGAGAGGCAGCCACTAAGAACAGTGGCGATTCACTCTCTTTTCCTCATTAAATGGTGTGCAATTATTGCTCCAGAGAGGGCAGTCCTGACCTACCTCGCTGCCTTCTAATGGCTATCTCCCCCCCTCCCCAACCTTTCTTTTTAGTTTGGTTTTTCGAGATAGGATTTCTCTGTGTAGCCCTGGCTGTCCCGGAACTACTCTGTAGAGTAGACTGGCTTCAAACTCAGAGATCCACCTGCCTCTTCCTCCCAAGTGTTGGGATTAAAGGCATGGATAATAGTTGCATTCTTAGCATTTCCTGGGTTTTAGCACCAAGGCACTTGGCAGTGTCCTATCTCAGGGCCTTTGTACTGCCTCTGCTCAGCAGCCACTGTTTTTCCTTCCCTACTCAGTGGCTCCACTCCTTGTTCAGATCTGAGTGCTCCAATGACTCCTCCGTCCCTCCCTGGCATTCCCATAGCCAATCTGGATGGACATTTACTCAGTGTCTGATTCTCTCTCCCTGCAGTCTGAGGATGCCATGATGGGAGGGATTGCTGTCACTTCACTAGGTATGAAAGGAATGAACGAATGTTGAATATTTGCTTACTCTTTCGGGTTGGACCAGGTCTGGCATTTATTTGCTGGAATGGAAGGCTTGCTTAAGAATCACAGCTTTCTCAGAGTTTCCTGAAAATGTGATAGCTTAGGGTCGAGGCTTCCCTACCTCTGCCCCAGAAATGAGGAAGTGGACACGTTGGTTGACACTTCCCTGGCTCCCTGGAGAGAGCCAGCATGCCATGCCGCTCACAGCATGAGTCAAGGCACTGGCATCTTCCTCTTTTGATCGGTTTCCGCAGCTTCACCAAGACGGGTTAAGCTGGACGATATCTAACTACAAGAATAAGTTGGAGAGTTCTGTGCATGGGGCTTTGACTCTATTCAGGAACACTGTGCTTAGCATTTGACAAGGGCCATCTCATTTCTAAAGTTGATCTTTTTAGGGACTGGAGCAACGTTTGAGTGGTTAAGATGTTTGCTGTTCTTTTAGAAGTTCTCTTCCTGGCTGATTGGTTTACAATCCACTGTAACTCCAGCTCCAGAGGATCTGACTCCCTCTTCTGGCTTCCAAGGGTACCGGGACTCATGAGCATACACAAGCACATACATACAATCCAAGCATATTTATCTCTTTAGAAAGATGTGATGATGGGCACATGCCTATAACACTCAAGAGGCTGAGGTAAGATTGCTGTGAGCTAATGCCAGCCTGAATTATACTTTTTTCCATGGTAGTGTCCTTTGATGTGTAAGCCCTTTTAATTTGAAGAGACAGAATTTTTTGTTGTTGTTTTGATTTGGTTTTGCTGGTTATGTTTTTGCATTTTTAACATAAGTTCATGTGCATTGTGTGCAGGTGCTCAGGGAGGTCCGAGGGCGTCAGATCCCCAGGGACTTGAGTTAGTTGCAGGTGGTCATGTGGATGCCGGGAACTGAACTCAGGTCCTCTACAAGAGCAGTAGGTGCTCTTAACTCCTGGGCAATCTCTTCAACCTTTTAATACTTTTATTACTTTATTTATTTGCTTTTGTGTGTGGACAAGCATGTGGCATGGCACACATATGGGAATCTGTTCTCTTCTTCCACCATGTGTGTGGAGATCAAGCTCAGAACATCTGTCTTTATCTCCTGATCCATCTTGCTGGCCCATTTATGTTTTTAGTGTAAAAAAGATGAGATTTCATTTGTTTATTTATTTACTTATTTATTTGGTTTCTCTTAACGTGTTTTTCTGTGTATCAGTCCTAACTGTCCTGGAACTAGCTCTTGTAGACCAGGCTGACCCTGAGCTCACAGAGATCCACCTGCCTTTGCCTCCCAAGTGCTGGGATTAAACGGGTGTGCCACCACTGCCTGTCTCACTATTTCTAATTTGCTTGTTTTTGGTGCAAAACCCAAGGCCTTATACATGCTAGGAAAACCCTTGACTAGTATATCTCCCCCTTGGGTTTCTTTATTTCTTCTCTCCCCCACCTTTGGCATTTTGTTTTGTGTTTTTTTCTTAGACAGTTTCTCTGTGTAGCCCTGGCTGACCTGAAACTCACTCTGTAGACCAGGCTGGGACTTGAACTCAGACATCTGCCTGCCGCTGCCTTCCAAGTGCTGGAATTAAAGGAGTATGCCTCCACACTTGGCAATTTCTTCTTTTTTAGAGTTACTAATTTTATTATTTTAGGAGTATAAATGTTTTGCTTGCCTGCATGTCTGTGCATCATATGTGTGCCTGGTCCCTGTCCTTGAGGAGATCAGAACTGGGACTGTAGTTACAGGTGGTTGTGAGTCACTGAGTGGGTGCCTGGAATGGAAAAGGGATCCTCTGCAAGAGCAACAAGTGCTTTTAACCGCTAACCCAAGTCTCCAACCTCGGATTTTGTTTAAAAGATGGTGTCTGATCCTGTAGGCTAGAATGGCCTTCAACTGTCTATCTTCTTACGTTAGCGTCTTGAGTACAGTAACACCTGCTCGTGGGACAGGTGAACCTTGAGCTTTCTCTCACTCCCACCAGCCTAGGACTTACTATGGTTCTCACTCCAGTCTGGGCCTGCGCAGCCCTGTGACTGAAGCCTACCTGTTGGTCTTTTGTCAACAGATGGGTGTTTCTGATAAAGAAGAGTTACCAAGATATTGACACTTCCCTGCAGAGTGCTGTGGTCACCAAAGTCAAGGGTGTGGCCTATACCAATACCACTATGCTCGGAGAACGGCTCTGGGATGTAGCCGACTTTGTCATTCCATCTCAGGTCAGATCTCTACCTGGGTCCTGGGCTAGTGAGGTGGGGCGGGTCACAGAGGAAGTACCCAGGCAACTCCATCAATTGTTTCTCCTGCTCAGGAGAAACCCTGTCTAGGTCCATTTCCCCATGGGGTCCCTGCTTCCTTTTCTGCACCAGGCAGGCCTGGCTTCTCTTGTTCTCAGTGATTTATGTGTCTGTTGAAACCAATGGGACCCAGAATGACCTGGCACAGTGTCCCAGGACTAGCTCCCCAGCTTGTTCATAGCTGCCCTGTATAGATAGAACCAGGCTGAGGTCGGGACAGAATTATAGGGTGAGAGTGCTTGGGGTTTGTGAAGATGCAAGTTACCCAACAAAAGACAGCCACTTGGAAAGTGTGGGATCACCAGACAGATGGACAGTGACCGCCAGTTTTGTGGTCCCCATTGTTCCCAACCCCATTCAGAGGCCCACTCTCACCTGGCTGACTCTTCCCCGAAAGGCCAGGAGGAAATTCCTCAAAACTCTGTCTGGCTCCTCAGGGGGAGAACGTTTTCTTCGTGGTCACCAACTTGATCGTGACTCCTAACCAGCGGCAGGGCATCTGTGCTGAGGTTTGATTTGGCATGTGTTTTGGGGAGGGTGGGCAAGCCCCCAGCTGTGGTGACAGTCCTCCTGAAACAGGGGCTTGGTTTGCTCCAAGAGCACCAAAGAGCTGTATAAATACTGAATGGTACCACGTGGTTTGGGGAGAAGAGATGGGTTTTCTTAATTTTTAAAAGTTTTACTTTTTTTTTTCATGATTAGTGCCTGCTTGCATGTGCATATGTGTGTGCATGTGTGTGTGTGTGTGTGTGTGTGTGTGTCTGTGTGCATGGCACAGCATGTGCGTGGAGGTCAAAGCTGGTTATCTCCTTTTGCCACGGTTTCCAGGGACCAAACAGGCTGCCAGGTTTTCATGGTAGATGTTTTTATCCACGAAGCCACTTTGCCAGCCTGAGAAACAAATTTTCAAAGGGTCTCAGGACAGGGAAGGAGCCCTCTATCTCTGATAGGACCCAGTCCTGGGCTGGGGGTTCTTCTCAGATCCTTGTCTTTCCTTGCAGCGTGAAGGCATTCCTGACGGCGAGTGTTCTGAGGACACTGACTGCCGTGCCGGGGAGTCTGTTGTCGCTGGACATGGTGAGGGCCCGGCGTGGCTGGGGCTGGAGCAGGGCAAAGAAACCTGGACAGGAAGGTCCATGGCATTGTCCCTGTCCCTCTCCTGCAGGACTGAAAACTGGTCGCTGTCTACGGGTGGGGAACTCTACCCAGGGTACCTGTGAGATCTTCGCTTGGTGCCCAGTGGAGACAATGTCCATGCCAACGTGAGTGGCCGTGGCCTGTGGTCCCAGAGGAGTTGCCTACGCAGTCTTACACAGTGGGTCCCACCCCAGGCCAGAGGCCTACCAACTCCATAGGTCTAGGGGAGTCATAGAGGGCAGGGGCAGGTCTCCTGCTCAGGCTGCCCTGGCCTGGTTTTCAGGGACCCCCTCCTGAAGGATGCTGAAGGCTTCACCATTTTCATAAAGAACTTCATTCGCTTCCCCAAGTTCAACTTCTCCAAGTAGGTGGGGCTTGGCTATTGGGTGGGGCGGTGGGCTGAGGACCCTCCCTGGAATGCCCTTTTCTCTGCTTGGGGGTGGTCTCTGTTCTGGAGGGGAATAAGGTACATGCTGGGGAAGAGATCACGTCTGGCAAAGTGTCAATTGCCTCCTGGGTCTGGCTCAGCAGCAGAACATCTCACCCTCCTATCATGGCCTCCTCTTAGAGCCAATGTGCTAGAAACAAACAACAAAGACTTCCTGAAAACCTGTCACTTCAGCTCCAAGAACCTCTACTGTCCCATCTTCCGACTGGGGTCCATTGTCCGCTGGGCAGGGGCTGACTTCCAGGATATAGCTCTGAAGGTGTGTGGTCAGGGAGCTCTCTCTGGGAACCTGGGCTCTGCAGAGAGAAGGTGAGGGTGGAGGGACATTAGGTCTCTTGTCCTCAGGAGCTTATTATTTTCAGAACTGATTGTGACAAATGGCTTAGCTTTATCAGGCACTCAGTGGGGATAGGTGGGTGGGTGGGGCTGACTTGGCACCTGCTGGGTAGTTCTCTGACTCTAGAACATCAGCAGAAACAGTTGAAAGGATCCCCATGGACACAAGTTGATTTGTGTGTAAAGTGTGGTCGGGCCAGTCCAGCAAGTTGACCTCCAGCCCACTTGTCTGACTCTCATAAAGGGCTGCCCTGTGACTTCTGCCCACCCATAGACAACTCTAGCATTCACCCTGTTTCTTGTTTCAAGGGTGGTGTGATAGGAATCCATATCGAATGGGACTGTGACCTCGATAAAGCTGCCTCTAAATGCGACCCACACTATTACTTCAATCGTCTGGACAACAAGCACACCAAATCCATCTCCTCTGGGTACAACTTCAGGTGACTGCTGTTTTTGTGCTACCTGGTGACCTTGACTCTGTTCTGTATCCTCTGCTGGGTCAAGTTTACCAGTGTTCTTGTGGTCCTTGTTGGCACTGAGTATACTGGGAAAGCCTTGTCTTTTGTGTATGCCTCAGTGAGCAGGTCTGGGCACCTTCCTAGAGTTGCTCGAGGGCCCTGGATTGCTGAGAATTCCTCAAAGCAGTCACTTTGTGCTGTAGTGGAGAAAAGGTATAGGCAGATGAGCGTCCCCTGGGCCCTGTCTCCCCAGGTTCGCCAGGTATTACCGTGACCCCAATGGGGTAGAGTTCCGTGACCTGATGAAAGCCTATGGCATCCGCTTTGACGTGATCGTCAATGGTAAGGTACGCAGATCTGCTTCCCGTTCCAGTGCCTGATGGCTGCTGGGCCAGGGAGGTTGGAATCGCCCTGGGATCCAGCTGTCCACCCTGCCGTGCTCACCGGGCTGTTTCTGTTCCACAGGCAGGAAAATTCAGCATCATCCCTACCGTCATCAACATAGGTTCTGGGCTGGCGCTCATGGGTGCTGTGAGTACCTCCCCTGCCTTACTGGCTTCCTGGGGAAAGGGAAGTAGAGCATGCTGAGCCCAGCACACAGGAGGCCTGTGAGGCCACAGGGACAAGGGTGATTTCACATGCTGCCAGCTCCCCAGGGGACACTGACTGCCTGTAGCTCTGACTGAGCTTGAGTGGAGTGTGGCACAGGTAGATTGCCCTCCAGTCTGGTGCGGGCTGGAATCTTTGGGATTCCGGGTCTAAAAATCTCCATCTCCAGTTCTGGTAATGGGAAACCAATTAGGCTATGCCAGTTTGCACTATTGACATTGGGGGTGTCCTCTGCAATTTGTTTAAGTGAATCCCTAATCTTCATTCACTAGTGGGACCTTCTCACAGCTGTGTTGCTCAAAAATGGTCTCCGTTTGAGAACCTGCATTTGAGAGGGTGAGAGGCAGGGTAGATAGTCTTGTAATCCTTTGGGGTGGATGTTTAGCCACCCATAGTAGGAAATGGTTAGAGTGCAGGGAAGGGCTTCCTACAAATGCCCGTCATACCCTTGGCACTTCTGGGAAGAGGTTAAATGTGGGAGTTGTAGGAGTCCTGGTTGGGAGCTCATGCCTGTAGTGATGGGTTGCGGGCAGGCCTGCTTTTCATCCTGCCCAGATCCTGCACGGCTAGCTTAGCCCCAGAAATAATAACACATAAGTTGTATTTATTTAAATACTGCCTGGCCCATTATCTCTACAGAGTTAGTTACTGGCTAACTCTCACATCTTGATATTAACCCATTTCTAATAATCTGTAGCACCACGAGGTGGTGGCTTACCGGAAAAGATTCAGCATGTCTGACCTGGTGGCTGGCTCCATGGCTTCTGCCTCACTTCCCTTCTTCCCAGCATTCTATTCTGTTTACTCCGCCTACCTAATTTTCTGTCCTATCAAAGGGCCAAGGCAGTCTCTTTATTGACCAATGAAAATAACACAATAGACAGATAACCCTCCTCCATCACATGCCAACACAGCAAGTTCCCTGCCAAGACTTCCAGAGGCCTCTTCTCTCCCCGGCCTAGGCAGCCCAAGCAGCTACTAGAGGATTCTGTCAGGACCCAGGATAGACTTTGCATTGAGACTGGGAAGCCTGTCTTAATAAGGGACTAAGAATGATCCCTAACAAAGGGCAGTGGTGACACACACCTTTAATCCCAGCATTCAGGAGGCAGAGGCAAAGGGATCTCTTAGTTTGAGGCCAGCCTGGTCTGCTGAGTGAGTTCCAGGACAGCCAGAACTACACAGAGAAACGCAGTCTCAAAAAACAAAACAAAACAGTGGTCCCCAAGTGGAGTGTTTCTGATTCAAGCAGTCATCCTTAGGGATCCCTCACTGTATGCATGTGTAGCGCTCGTACAATGTAGGTAAAGTTTGCAAGTCTGGGGACACATCTGTGAAATGAAGGCAAGGATGCATTGTGTAATTGGAGGTTTCTCCATCCCACCCTGACCCACAGCCACTTCTAAGCAATCACTCAGAGGCTTAATATTAATTATAGAATGTTTGGCCTATAGTTCAGGCTTCTTACTAAATAGCTTTTACGTTTAAATGAACCCATTTCTAGTAATCTATGTATTGCCACATGTCTGTGGTGTTACTGATCTGCTGGCATCTTGCTCTTTGGGCAGCTGGCTGGTGTCCCACTTCGAATCTGTCCTTCTCTTCTCTTTATCTCCATTTGGCTTTCCTCCCTAGCTGTATTCTGCCTGGCTATAGGCCAACTCAGCTTTTGTTATCTACCAATGAGAGCAACACAGATTCACAGCATACAGAAAGGTTATCCCACAATATTATGGAAGGTGATGGTGAAGGGTGAGGGAAGAAATAGGAGCGAGGAATTGATAAATGACATTTCTGAAGTCTGGGGAAGACGGGTATGCTCTACTCAGGGCCTTCTCTGCCTTCAGGAACACCTCTATCCTTGCTCTATAGGTAGAGTCGCCCTCTGCCGGAGCAGACAGGCATTACATACAACATGCTCTGATCTGTGTTCAGCGGTTATTAGTCCATCACAACTGAGTCTGCACAGGCTTCCTGTCTTTTTCTGACCACAGTTGTAATGTCCCTGTTGTTGAGGTTAAGATGTCTGCCAGCCCATCTTACACCGGCTATCAGAGCTCTCTTCAAATTAGCACAACTGTCACTCTCATGCTTCCCCGCAAAGGACCAGGACCAATGTCTCCAAAGCATTCTCAGGCACGCTGGTTCTCACCCCCACCAGAAGCACCTTTTGCTCTTCCCCCACAGGCCCTGGGCAGTTCCTGGTGATGACAAGCCCGCCTCTCCCAATTGCAATGCAATTCCAGGTCTCTGGTTCAGCAACCCAGGCTGAGTAAATGCTGCTTTTCACCGGCCCCCAATCCTGTTCCCATTATAGGGCTGATGGCTCTATATCATAATCCACTTGTCTCCTGAAGCATAGGGAGTCCCTAGGTCTCTGTGGTCCACATCCTCCTGTCACCCCAGTACAAATCTGGCAGGTGATAAATTCTTAGCAGATATGTGTTGAAGTTAGATCTGGCCAGGGCAGTAAGGTACGCTTGTGCCATGGAATTAGGAGGCACACCCAGATCTCACCTGTGTCTACCATGGAGTGGCTTTGTGCCCCTAGACATCACCCTTTTCTGGGATGTTTCCCTTTTTTTGGTTTTGTTTTGTTTTGTTTTTCAAGACAGGGTTTGTCTGTAGCTTTGGAGTCTGTTCTGGAACTAGTTTTTGTAGACCAGGCTGGCTGTGAACTCACAAAGATCTGCCTGTCTTTGCCTCCTGAGTGCTGGGATTAAAGGCATACGCCACCACTGCCCGGCCTGGGATGTTTCTTTATGTTCAGGTGATGCCCTGCTCCTGAGTTGTTGTTGCAGGCTCCAAGATTATGAAGCTAGGATTCTGAGTCAAAGCTTGGAACTCTTTTGCAGGGGGCTTTCTTCTGCGACCTGGTTCTTATCTACCTCATCAGAAAGAGCGAGTTTTACCGAGACAAGAAGTTTGAGAAAGTGAAGTAAGCTAACCTTTATCCCCCAGTTCCAAGGAGCACCCCAGCCCCTACCTGGAGCCTCATCTGGCTGGTCCTGGGTTGGGGTGTATAGGTGACATGTGTACCTGCTTCATAAGACCGGACTTGATTCAGAAGACCTGGGGAAGATGTCTGCAGGTCTCATGGCAGAAGATAAATTTACAGGATCTGTCTTACTGGGTGATTTTAGACAAGCTCCATGACTCCTTGAGCCTCGGTTTTCCCATCTGTGAGATGAGAACACTGGCTTATACAAAAGGACTTGGTCCTGGACCTAGGGTTGGAGGAAGATGTGTGTGCATGTGTGTGTATGTGCACTTAGCATTGAAACACAGAACATGGGAGGGTGTTGGGTCTGGGATGACAGGAAGGGAAAGGGGTTCTGGTCTTGCCCTTGGAGAAGGCATTTTGGAGGAACTGGGACCAGAATGAGGAATTGGGTCAGGCAGCGTGTGCTTCCTCAGCCCCAGCAACCTGGACTGTGGGTGCTGCATGGACCTGTGTGATTTGTTTGTGTTGCCCAGATGCAGCCTGAACCCAGCTGGTATGGGTCCACCTGGCCACAGGCTGCTCTGCTGGAGGAAAGAGTGGCCCAGCGGGGTGTGCAATTCTCTGTTGGTGCCCTAAGAAGGTGGTGGCCATGTCTTACCCAGGGGTCAGGAGGAGGAAGCCAGTGTGGAGCTTGAGGCCAACGATACTGAACAGCCAGAGGATAAGCCACCAGAAGGGGGCCAGCAGGATGAGCATCCCCAAGAGCTGGTCCAGAATAGCAGGAAGCACAATAGCAACTGCCAGGAGCTCCTTGAGCCTGCCAGGTGAGGAACTGTGGGACAGCTGGCTGGGGACTGGCTTCTGTAGAGGGGCTATTGGGATTGGCTCCAGAGGGTGTTCCCAGGCCTAGGATGGGCTTTCTCTCAGCCCCCAGTTTTCACTCCTTGCTAAGGTTGGGGTAGCCTTCTATCGGGAGCTAGGTCAGGGCAGGGTGAGAAATTTCCTGGGATGGAGCTGGTAAGGAGAGAAATGGGGAAGCTGAGGGCTGCAGCAGGGGGACCAGATTGAGAGATCCTAAGTCTAGCAGCTCCCTGATCTGTCACTACCTGCTCACCCACCTAAGTCCCTTACCTGCAGGTCCACTTTGCTTGTCTAACACAGCCTCCTATTGCTGTGGGAGATCCCGTGCTTCCCAGCCCTCGGCGTGAACGTCGTCAAGCATCTGAGCTGCAGCTAGGGCAGTGTTTCTTTCTCTTTGGCTGTGCCTGCCTGCTCACTGCCAGAGAGGCTGTGACAGCCGTGTACTCTGCCTCAGAAAGGCCATGCTGCAAAGAGTTCCTGCTGGCCCTCTCTCTGCCTTTTGTGCGCACCCGTCCTCCAAGGTCTGGCCTCCAGGAGAAAGCCATCCTGAATGTGAAGCAGCCACAGATCTTGCAAACAGTGAAGACGTAGCCAGAACTCTTGGCAGAGAACAAATTCAAAGATGATGGGGCCAGGACAGACCACAGCTCTGAACTGGGAAGAGGCATCTTGGTGCTTGCTCAGGATGGAGCTTCTGGAAACAGGCCCTTCAACTTCACCCAGCTCAGGTGGGATTCTATTGCAGGATTTTTTGTAGTGTGGAGGGGAGCCTCCTGTTGGCTCAGATGCGGACAGGAGGCCCTGGGGCAGGCCCCCAGGAAAGGGACAGGCCAGGGGCTTCAGTGATAGAATGTTTACATGCCCCATCTCTGAACCCAGAGGGACATTCATTTATTCATACATGCAGTACACATCTATGGGTGCATGCTGTACTTTATTCCTGTCTGAGAGGTTTAAACAAGATGCTGATCAGGCCCCAGGGCTCACATGTAACTCTCTCCAGAGACTTCAGACAGCCCAGACAGCCTGGCCTTCCTCCAGCCTCTAGCCAAGGCTCCCGGCAAGTCTCGGCAGAGAATGATGGCTGCTCAGAAAAGCTGTTGGATGACATCCAGGGGACATTTAGCTCCACCCCCAGTGTAAAATTTAAGGGTGGCCAAGGAGGCACCTGGGAAAAACTTAAGGGAAGAGCAAACTCCAGGGGCTCCTAGGCAAGGTTCGGGCAGGGAAGGCAGGCAAGCCACTAGCCCGTTCTAGCCCCGACCCGTAACCTAGGGTAGCGCTGGGAAATCGACTTGTCCATGAGAGATGGACTTGCCCGTGCAGTTTAGCTCTGGCTGTTTTTTTGAGGGGGGAAGGGTTGGGGGCGTGCCTGGGAGTCCCGGATTGATTTCCTGCTCTCAGAAAGAAGCTCAGCCTTGAAGTGCTAAAGAGATAAAGGAGGACTTTCTGAAAGGTTGTCCCTGATCCGTGTGTCCTGTTCCTTCCCCACTGCATTTCATTCCATGGAGCTCAAAGTGGGGTCCATGGACCAGCATCCGCTCTGCTGAGAGCCTGACAAAAATGCATGGCTGCAAGCCTCTCCCTAATCCTACCCACGTAAGCGGTTCCCCAAGATCTCAGCGTGGTTTGCAAGCCTACTGTTACTGCCATCTTGGGGGCTGACAGAGTCTGACTTACACATGCTGCCCTGAGGCGATCCTGGAACTCTTTATAGACCAGGCTGGCCTCATACAGACCTGCCAGCCTCTTGAGTGCTGGGACTAAAGGTGTGCATCACTATACCTGGTTTCCCATCTTTCCTTGGAAGATAGCGGTATGCTTGGTTTATTTAAATTCAAACATTTTGATAAGGTAATACCTACTCTAATTCAAAATGTAAAGATTCATCAGCATAGAAGTATCCAGGTAGTGTGGTGAACGACTTTAATCCCGGCACTCAGGAGGCAGAGGCAGATGGGGCTCCGAGTTTGAGGCCAGCCAGGTCAGTGGAACTAGTTCTTTGCCAGAAAGGGCTATATAGTGAGACTCTGGATTTTGTTTTTTGTTTTCTGAAGACATCCCTTTCTTTCACTCTCCTTTATTTTTCTGAGGATTCATCTGGCTACCTGTCCACTTCCTCAGGAAATGATCTATTCCTGAAAGAGCAAATTCCCTGTCAAAAACAGACTTGGGACACATTTAAATACAGGACTGGGGAGCTAGTGGGCTCACTTTTCCCTATCCCGTGGAGGGGTATCTGGGGAAATCCAAGGAGAGAAACCTGGAGCTCTTCATCTGGAGACCATTGTCAAGTGTCAAGTTCTGCCTTGAGTCCAGGTGCTGGGTAGGTGCTTCTCTGGATGCTGGGAGCTCCTCTCCGGAAAGCATCTCCACCATATGCCAGGGACAGTAAACATCCTTCCACTGGGCCCATGCAGGTGGTAATCAGAAGGGGTCTGATAGCTGGGTGAGGTGCTGTATGCCTGCAGACCCAGCACATGGGGGTGGGTCACCTGAGCTCAGGAATTTCAGTGTGGGCAATAGATAGTGATGTCCTCTCCCCCCCCAAAAAAGGTGTAGGGCTCAAGGATGGCTCTTTCAGAAAACCCGGGTTCAATTTCCAGGCCTCATATGAGGGCTCACAATCTCCTGTAATTCTCCTGGTGCACAGACATACATGCAAACAAAATACATATACATATGAAGTAAAATAAATTAAAAAATTGTTTTTAGCCTGGTGTAGTGGAGCATGCCTGTAATCCTAGCACTGGAGAGGCAGAGCAGGCAGATCTCTGAGTTGAGGCCAGCCTGGTCTACAGAGTGAGTTCCAGGGCAGCCAGGGCTATGGAGACAGTCTGTCTGGAAAAATCAAAAGTAAGTAAAAAGAAAAAAAAAATGGGGTGGAGGGGAGTTGTTGTTACTGGGGCAGAAGGGAGCGGTGTCCAGAGCAGGACCTCTTCAAAGGGAAGCAGCTTTGGCACCTTTGGCTGTCTGGAGATGTCACCAAGCCATGCTGCTTCCTGAAAGTGAAAGCCTGGGTACACTTAGGTGCTGACTTCCTTGTTAAAGCAAATCCAGCTGTCATTTTTATGTTCAGGAGTAAACAAGAGGGTCAAGGGTCAAGACTGTGCAGCTTGGCCTAGCTCTTCTTCCTACTGCTTTGAAATGGCCTGGGGACAGTCAAACAACTCATTTTCTATCAGAATGAAAATGCCTTTTACTAGTTCTTGTCAGTAAGTACCGAGCTCATATGTGTCCTGTTCTTGTCAGGCATCGGACTAAACCCTGACACTGGTGAGCAACACACACGGCCACTGCCTTCACATGCTTCCAGTCTGGTGGGTGCTGAATCTTAACCATGACGTGGTCACACTTGTCAAGACCTAATTAGGGAAAGTTTTAACGTGGAGCAGCCTGAGTAAGTGTACTCAGGGACTGCCAGTTTAAATCAGAAAGGTTAGGAGCCACCTGTCATGTGACAGGGAAGGAAGGGAATCCCACATGCTTTGATGTGGAAAACAACCCGGAACGTTGTCACTGCCATGGTCGTTGTGAAGTGTTCTTTTAATCTGTTGGTCTCCATTACACCCCGCTGCCTGACAAATCTGTTGTTAACCTGTTCCTTCTGGGCTAGCAAATTTAGCTAGGTCGACCCTTGGATCATTTTAGGAGGCTCAAACTTAGAAAGGCCAGGGATCTTATTAAAACTTCTCACAGGGATGCCAACTTTGGCAAAGTTGCCTTGTGCCTCTCTTCCCCTCAACTTCTTGTCTTCTGTATAACCTTGATATAATACAGCTCATCCATCTATGGAAGCCAGCTGCCTAAATTAAAAACAAAACAAACAAAAAACAACCAACCCAAACCTCCCAGGGTCTTTCTCTGCAGCCCGGGCTTGCCTCAAACTCATGAGCCTCCCATCACAGCCTCCACAGGCGGAATGAGGCTTCTAACTCAGGAAGTGAGTCAGGAACTTAACTCCCAACCTTTGGGAAAACACATTTTCTTTCTGAGCACTGCTTGGATTATTGGCTACAGTCATTGCCCACGAGTCCTCTTCTATTCTGATCTTCTAGGATCTGATGAATTGTGTCAGTCCCTAGCCCAAACTGGGCCATCTAGGATTGTCCTAAAAGTTATTTCATACCCTTTGGGAGCACCATGATGTGGGCCAGCTGATATACTGGGTGATATCAATGCGACATGGATCAGTCATGAAATCACAAACTGCTGTGCTAGGGTCATAGCTGCCTTTTGCCCTCCATCAGTTGTTCCTCTCAGTGGGGGAGGCCATCATAAAGGTGGAACATGCCTTATTCCAAGTGCTTGAGCTGGGGACCACAGTCCCTAATCACAGCATCTTTCGGATCTGAACAGGGATCCCCTTAGTCTTACCCACACCCTCCCCACAAGGGACAAGCTCTTATCAGAGGGCGACTCTTCAACGAGGATAAAAAGTCAAATGGGCCAAGGTGGCAGGCATTTTCTGGTACCTGTCTGACATGTATTTTTGGACACTTCTAAAATAAAAAGCATCAAGTTTAAATGTGTCCCTCTTTTATTTCCCCTTCATGGTTACCCCATGTAGGGGAAAAAATGTAAGATTAGACAAAAAGAGGCAGACACAAGCAATAATAACAAATGTATTACAGTCCTTGTTATCATGCATGCAAAGAGATTCAAATCAAAGCATGGGAATACTTTTTAAAATTACATTTGTGTGTGTGTGTAGGTGTGCATACACGTCAGTGTGCTTGTGAAGGTCAGAGTCTATTCTTCCCTTTGACAATGTGGGTCCTGAAGACTGAACTCAGGTCATCAGGCTTGGCAGCAGACACCTTTATCTGCTGAGCCATCTTGCCGGCCCCAAGGAGACTTTTGAACAGACGCTAAAAGACAAGGAAGGAGATGGCTCAATGGCTAAGAGCACTTGCTGCACCTGCACTCATGAGCACATACCCACTAACATGCAGACAAATATACCTACATTAAGAATAATAAAAATTTATAAAAGACTAGGAAGAATGATAAAACTAGTACTTCTCACTGGATAAATGCTGGGAAGTATTTGAAATCAACTTTCCCTTTGCCCCATGAGTATTAAATCTACTCAAAATGAATAGGAAATGAATTTTAGTTTTAAACATTTGCAACACATTTACTGTTTAACAACAGGAAAATCACTAAATCAAGTAGGAACCCATCAGGAATGAGCTGAGCCCATCCTTCCCAGAGAAGCTCCGGCTCTATAAACATGCATGTCAGGATCTTCAGAAGAGGGCTCTTTGGGACAGGAAGGTAAAACTGTGACCTCATCTTGGCATGAGATGCAAGCATGTGGCCCAGAACCCAAATCAGGATTCAGGGCTGTGTGCTTGGGGCATTAATGAATGAGCACAGACCTTCTACAGTCTGGGAAAGAGGTTTTGAATTCAATCTTTCATATCCTTTTCTTAAAAACTAAAAGCCAATTCACATTCCTAAGATTTCCGAAGACTTCCCCTCTAGATGCTCATGGCATCAAGGCTAACTTCTATGACCTGGTCAGGACTACCTCACAGTCTAATAAAGACCACATCCTTCTGCCTTGTGGCGTCTCTACATGCTCTCTTCTCAAATTAGCTCTTTCCCTTATTTTATTCAGCTGCTGTTTAAAAGTTCAGTGTCAGACACGTTATTTCTTCAAGTCTTCCTTGACTCCATTTCCAAGCCTAATCTAGACGTAGTGCTTCTGGGTATTCTTTCATGGCATCTTTTATAGTCTGCAAAACCGGATAATGCCAATCTCCCCAGTTAGAATATAAATTCCACGTGCAACATGCTCATTACAAGTCTAACACAATTATATTTTTTTTTCAGTGAAACATGTATTTCATTCTAAAATTTTCCTTCAAAAGGGTTACGAACGAACATATAGTCAGAGGCATTACACTTCAACAGATTCATTTGATTAAATGTACAAATAACCTATTTAATTGATGTAGGACACATTTTAGAAAAAATAGCTTGCATTTTTTTTGAATAGGAAAGATAACTAGCCACGACCAGGTAACTGGAACTTAACTGATTTCATTCATACCCGAAAGCAGTGGTTAGTGGGAAGAGATGCTAGAACGGTACTTTCATCCAATACGGTACAAGCAAACAGACTTGTAACTGGATTCTGCCTCTGCCTCTTCCCAGATGAGCCACCACAGACAGAGACCTCTAACCTCTCTAAGCCTCAGGTTCTGCATCAACAGGAGTTTAACAGCAACATCTCCACAGAGTTATTGCTAGGATTAAAACATAGCCAGTGCAGGAAGTACACAGCACAATGCCCGCACATAGAGAACGCTTAATAACACGAACTGTCAACAGTCTTTAAGATGTTAACGCTATGTTCTCTCATGTAAGCCCTAGAGGTCCCTTTGGATCTACTAGGTGCAAATCCAAGAAAATTACAGGATATGGCCTTAGTGCCTGCTCGCTAGAGAGCAAATCTTGGCGACTTCAAAGGGTGGCTAAACATCAAGGCAGGAAAGAACTCGACGACAAGGTGTCACACTTCATTTAATCTGAAGAATATTACAGGCTGTCTTCAGATATAAATTATAACAGTACAGAACAAGCAGCGAATTCAAACAATTTAAAAACTAAGTAAGTCTACACGGGGTTAATTGCTGGCAAGAGTCCTGCCAATCTTCTTTTATTAAGTCACCCCTGCCCTCATTTCAGTAGACGTGCACCATGCCATAGAGGAATGTCCAGAAGAGGACGTAGGTGAAGAGGCCTCCAATGAGGCCTCCTGTAAACAGAGGTCTTCTTGACTTAAAATACTTGTTCCACCTCCTTCCCGCTTTGAGAATCAGGAGCAGAGAGAGCAGGACGGAGGCGAGCAGGTAGAAGATGAAGCCGTAGAGGCCGGTGAGGCCGAGGATGCCGGCTGTGGCCCCCGACAGCGCTGACACTGAGGTCCGGCAGTAATCAAGGACCGCGGCGTTGCCTCGCACGGCTGCCTCGCTGATGAACGGCGGCCCTTCCCGTTTGGCCACCACCGCGGCCATCGCACCCGCCGGGGCTCCGCTTCTGCCTTCTCGCGAACTCAACGCGGAACTGCGGAGAAAACCAAGTTACAAGTGGCACCCGAAGCCCGGCGAGTTGGGCGCACGGCGCCTTCTTCCCCTGGGACCTCTGACACCGCGCCTGGGCCTCTGACCTCCACGGGACACCGAGGCTGAGACTCGAGCCGGCCTAGGATGGCAGCACATCCGCACACGCCCGAAAGGCTCGCCGAGTTACCTGGAACACAGCGGCACACAGTCCCTCGTGTTCCCTCACACAGGAAACTACGGAGAGAACCGCGTCGCCATCTTGTGCCGGAGGCTGCTGGGAGGGCTCAGGTTGAGCAGGCGCACTAACTCCGCCCCGCCCTCCCACGCTTGCGCCTCGGGCTCGCTCCCCCTCCCGCCCCACTTTTGCACCCAAGTCCCGGTACTCCCGAAAGCCGAGCAGCGCTCCAGTTGGTGATTGGCTGGAGACTTATTAAGTATTCATGAGGGGGCGGGCCGAGCAGGACTGCCCTTTGTTAACCAGGGAGGGCGCGGCCGTGGGCATTCTCGCTGCGGGTCTCACCGGGCGCTGTCGGCTTCTCACATTTGAGTCGAAATGTCCTACATCCCGGGCCAGCCTGTCACCGCCGTAGTGGTGAGTGCGCTCGCGCGGGCTCCTTCTCCCCTTGGCTCATCCCATTTTGCAGAGCG